CCGGTCTACGGGTTGTGTGCCCGTCTCTCCCCCGCCGCCTGTTGTTGGGGTGGCCACATTGATGACTGCACCACACCGATGAGTCCCAGTGAGGACGAAGCTGGTCTACGGGTTGTGTGCCCGTCTCCCCCGCCGCCTGTTGTTGGGGTGGCCACATTGATGACTGCACCACACGGATGAGTCCCAGTGAGGACAAAGCCGGTCTACGGGTTGTGTGCCCGTCTCCCTCCCGCCGCCTGTTGTTGGGGGTGGCCACATTGATGACTGCACCACACCGATGAGTCCCAGTGAGGACGAAGCCGGTCTACGGGTTGTGTGCCCGTCTCCCTCCCGCCGCCTGTTGTTGGGGGTGGCCACATTGATGACTGCACCACACCGATGAGTCCCAGTGAGGACGAAGCCCGGTCTGCGGGTTGTGTGCCTGTCTACCTCCGGCCGCCTGTTGTTGGGGTGGCCGCAACTTTCTTGACGTCCTGTGAGAGAGAGCTTCGTCGCTGATCGGATTCCTCCGGTACAAGTAAATATTGTTATCTGACGCCGTGAGTCCGGTGGCTCTCAAGTGACAGAATGGGCGCCACGTCCTGGATAAGGCCGAGACCTCTTGTATGTGAAGCTGCTGCTGCACACCTGTGTGGGTGTGTGTACTGTGTGTGTGTCTGTGTGTGTCTGTGTGGGGAGCGGTGGTGTAGCGGTTAGCACGCTGCGCTACAAACCTGGCCGCCCGGGTTCGATTCCCTCTCACGGCCAACATCAGTGACGATTATCTGAACCCGTCCTGGGCCTCCCCTAGGTCGACTCAGCCTCAAATGAGTACCTGGTGCGATGTGTAAACATCGCCAGGAGGGAGACAAAGGCGGCCGGGCGTGGTGTTGGCCACCCACCCCCTCGTGTGCCGTGCCGGCCTTCATAGGTGCTCGCTAACAGTACTTGCCCCAACAGTCTGTTAAGGCTATACGGGGGATCTTTTATCTTTGTTGGGGGGGGGGGCGGTGGTGTAGCGGTTAGCATTGCTGCGCTACGAACCCGACGACCCGAGTTCGATTCCCACTCACCAGTGACGATTGTCTGTACCGGTCCTGGGCTTCCCCTAGGTTGACTCAACCTCAAATTAGTACCTGGTGCAGGGAGACAAAGGCGGCTGGGCGTGGTGCTGACTACTCAGTCCCTCTTGTGCCGTTCTGGCCTTCATATGTGCTCGCTAACAGCACTTGTCCCATCAATCTGTTACGCTATATGGGGGATCTTCGTGTTTCTGTTGTGATGGGATTCCTCATTTACAGATTTCAATCTCCGTAGAGTGTTAATAAATAAGTAATGCCCCCTCATCATAAAATCGCACCTTGAAGTCTTACTTTCAAGAAAAAAAACAGCTGGACACCAATTGAAAGCGCGGCAAATAGCAGAGAGAAACCGTTCACAAATTATCATCCATGATCTGTCCACTGCTAGATGAAGGCCTGCCCTGCGCACGCCGTAGGCCGATATCATCCTTCCGCCTCCTGTGAAGCGGCGGTGCGATGTTAACTCCCTCGCCTGGTTTACAGGAGGGCCGTGGTTTCGATCCCGACCCTGACGACGACGCCGGCATATTCGGAGTTGGTGGTGTCTCTCAACCCGTGGTCGTGTGGATTTTTAAATCCTTTATATTAAGTTCGCTTGCTTTCTTGCTTGCATGCTTGCGTGCTTGCTTGCTTGCTTCTGTGCAAATCTTTCGGTCGTTTTTTAACCCACTTCACGTGATCCAATCGAGCTGACATTTTGCACACAGACTCGTTGTGCGAGACAATTAATGTTCGTGAAAAAACATTTTTCCAAAATTTTACACTGTTTAGGGAAAACAAATTAAATATTTAATTACCAATTGCTTAATACTGGCAGACAATCATCTGACCCATAGGTGGCAGCCATCTCAAGCCAGAGGACGAGAGGACTCTAGCCGCCACGCATATAAAGGATTTATAGTGAAAAACTTTGTTTTTACGGGTTATACTTGTTCTTCTCCGGGCCCTCCAGTTATTCCTCTCCACGTTTTAGAATCAACAATGTGCCTTGAGAGTATTTGGCTGATATCAATTTCGACATGATGAAAAGCCACTTCTGTTGGGCTATCATTTGCGATAGCCAGCTTCAGAGAAAAACATGTTTACGTAGCTCAGTGAGCCTTATTTGATAAAATAAAAAAAGTTTAGAATAATAGTTTATCTTCTTGGTTTTTTCGGTAAAGTCACGTAGAAGGGAAATAATAAAAAAATAAAACATAAAAACATACAATTCTCACTACAATACAGTACAGTGAGAATTTTATTTTATTATGTTTTATTTTTATTATTTTATTATTTCCCTTCTACGTGACTTTACCGAAAGAACCAAGAAGATGAATCCCTGCAGTCACGAAAGCTTTAAATCGAAAATTAATAGTTTAGTTTTGGTTTAGACTGCGGTTCCCACACACCAGTCTTGTCCCATCGGCCATCGTCATCCCTCCGAGCCATGACGTCCTCCTGGCCCGAGTCCACTCGTGCGAGTTGGTCGACATGATGTCCCCGATTTTGATTTTGTCAACCACCGCAAGTTTTGTGAGGGGGTTCACACCAGGATATGAATTGCTCAATATATTGATCGAGGTGGGGGTGGTGGGGGGGTCTGTGACCAAATCGCATGGAATGCAGCCGGTCTCGTCCGATTGGGCGGCGGTGGCGGCGGCGCAGGAGTTTGCGTCTTCTCCTCCTGTTTAACTCCCTTCCTTCCCCCTGGGCGTCGAGTAGAAGCCATGGACCCTGGGATGACCGGGAGATGGCTTTCCGGCAAAGTGCGGTCTTAACATCAACGGTTCCTTCTCTGCACGGGGATAGAGCGTTGCCCCCTTGCGCGTGTGCGTTTTCTCCCGGCGCTCCGGTTTCGTCCCACACGTATACATGCGCGCGTCATTATTTGGCTGGAAACAATCTAGTTTTGAAGTTTTCGTGACTGCAGGGATCCATATACCCTTTGGTTCTTTTGGTAAAGTCACATGGGTATAAAATAAAATATATTAAATCACGACGTTTCGGGCGCAACACAAGCGTCTGTCATCAGGTGGGACAACCACAGCAAAAAACAATTGCCGAAGTGGGCTGGAAACAACTTAATATATAGAGGTCTGCAGAGCCTGGGGACATTGTTGGTTGAGCCGGCCCTATCACGGCCTTGTTCCTGCCACTGCCTTCTCGTGAGTCTGTGCTTCCTCAGCGATTCTGAGAGCTGAAATGTACACAATGAGGCGATTGTATCAAAGTAAATGTCATCTCACAAGCCAAGCAGGGATTTGTGCCCAGATAATGCCTGGATGTGTGACCGTCCATCCATACAACATATGTTATAGGCTTCGGGCCTACGCGGAGGACAGTGCAGTAGCACTTTTATCGTTCTCTCACGTCCATGCCTCCCCACCTTCAGCCCAACCCGCACTCGGCAGCAGCGTGGTGAAGTATGGTCAACAATAACAGCCGCCACCCATCCAGGGCGTGGGTTGGGAGGGGGGGGCACTAATCCAGCAGTGGATTGACGGACCGGTGATGGCCTTTGAATAAAATTGTCACGAACTTTCATTCGGTGGGAGAGTGTCGGCAGAATCGGGGGCGTACTTCCCCCCCCCCTCCCTTCCCAAGGTGAAGCCCCATTGAGCCTGTGAAGTTCTTGTTTTTTTCAAGGGGCGACTCGGCCGGCAGACGTCGGCAGCAAAGCGTTGCGTCTGAACAATTTACTGTACCAACAAAAAAACCAGCACCCGTCATCGCTGACCCAGCAGCAGAGGTCCCGTGGCGGTGGCCTTGACCTCTCCCTCGAAGTGTGGACGGCACTCGGCCGAACCCGCATGGGACACGGTGATGGGGGAAGGGCGATGATGATATAACAAAGATGAATACAGTAAAACCTTGTATTGCAAGTAACTTGGTCTGCGAGTGTTTTGCAAGACGAGCAAACATTTTAAATAAATATGAATTTGATAAACGAGCGAGGTCTTGCAATACGAGTAGTACGTGCATACGCTTTGTCTGCCGAGCGTCACGTGATCACAACTGATATACGAGTTCTTTGGATTACAAGCACGTTTCCAGAACGAATTATGCTCGCAATGCAAGGTTTTACTGTATTGTTAATTATAGTGAATGATGATCATTTCACCGATTTTCAATTATGAATGGATGATAATGATCAATCAATCTAAACTAACTAAACTTTTTATTTTACTTGGTAAGGCCCACTAAGCTATATAGCTCTCTTTCAGAAGTGACCCGGCCACAAATGATAGCTCAACAAAGTAGTGGCTTACGTGGAAATTTAAAGCAGCCAAGTACACGAAACGCACGTTGATCACTATGTAACACGATTTCTGATCCTGGGTACTAAGTGTTATTTTTTAATTGCTTATGCCTAAAAAGTATACAAAATGGCTATTATTCTCCTCAAACATAGCTTTTGTGACCAGTGCTTTATGTGAACGAAAAACACAAATGCACACGTTTTCTCATTGAAATTTTAATATCACTGTCCTGGTCACAAAAGCAAAGTTTGTGGGGAATAATAGCCATTTTCTGTACTTGTGAGGCATAAGCAATTAGGAAATAACACTTACTACCCAGGAACACATTTTTTTTTTTGTTAAACAATGTTATAAATGTGGAGGGGAAAAAAAACTGGAAGACCTGGAGATAAATCCTCGTGGCCACGGGGAGAGTGAACATGCAAACTCCAAATATACAGGCATTGGGCTTGAACCCACAACCTTTTATATTCCAGGCGAGGGAGCTAACATCTCGCCACCGAGAGACGATATCGATGAAGATTCAAGACCTGATTCGACCTCTGACCCACATTTGAGCTTTGACCCCTTCTGACCCACCGCCACATCACCTGTCCTGGGACGTGGCTTGCGATCTCTCGCAGCGATTGCTCCACTCACGACCGTATTTCTCCGTTCACCTTTCTGCCCCGTGTCGTCCGGTGTGTGGTGGTTGCAGGGCTGCGATCCGTTCTACATGACACGCCGTGGCAAGCTGCAGACGGAGCGGAGGAAGCTCAACGATCAAATAATTCGGGAGGCACGGCTTCGCGAGGGCGCGCAGAACCTCTACAGGTGAGCGAGCGAAGCGGTGGGGGACCCGCACTCGGCCCTACCTCGTGCGAGCTGTGGCCTTCCCTGGTAAACGTCGGATGTTGGGCCCACATTCGGCCGACGTTGGGCCGACGTTGGAATGTTGGGCCCACATTCGGCTGACGCTGGAATGTTGGGCCCATGTTCGGCTGACGCTGGAATGTTGGGCCCACGCTCGGCCGACGTTGGGCCGACGTTGGAATGTTGGGCCCACGTTCGGCTGACGCTGGAATGTTGGGCCCATGTTCGGCTGACGCTGGAATGTTGGGCCCACGCTCGGCCGACGTTGGGCCGACGTTGGAATGTTGGGCCCACATTCGGCTGACGCTGGAATGTTGGGCCCACGCTCGGCCGACGTTGGGCCGACGTTGGAATGTTGGGCCCACATTCGGCTGACGTTGGAATGTTGGGCCCACGCTCGGCCGACGTTGGGCCGACGTTGGAATGTTGGGCCCACATTCGGCTGACGCTGGAATGTTGGGCCCACGCTCGGCCGACGTTGGGCCGACGTTGGAATGTTGGGCCCACATTCGGCTGACGTTGGAATGTTGGGCCCACGCTCGGCCGACGTTGGGCCGACGTTGGAATGTTGGGCCCACATTCGGCTGACGCTGGAATGTTGGGCCCACGCTCGGCCGACGTTGGGCCGACGTTGGAATGTTGGGCCCACATTCGGCTGACGCTGGAATGTTGGGCCCACGCTCGGCCGACGTTGGGCCGACGTTGGAATGTTGGGCCCACATTCGGCTGACGTTGGAATGTTGGGCCCACGCTCGGCCGACGTTGGGCCGACGTTGGAATGTTGGGCCCACATTCGGCTGACGTTGGAATGTTGGGCCCACGCTCGGCCGACGTTGGGCCGACGTTGGAATGTTGGGCCCACATTCGGCTGACGCTGGAATGTTGGGCCCACGCTCGGCCGACGTTGGGCCGACGTTGGAATGTTGGGCCCACATTCGGCTGACGTTGGAATGTTGGGCCCACGCTCGGCCGACGTTGGGCCGACGTTGGAATGTTGGGCCCACATTCGGCTGACGTTGGAATGTTGGGCCCACGCTCTGCCGACGTTGGGCTGACGTTACAACCAACGTCCGTGATGCACAATAGCTGAGGCACGCACGCGCGGATCCCACAATCCACCACTGAATAAGCACCCCTCCCGCCGTGATGCCGCATTGCCAAGTCGCGATATGGTTCGAGAGGGGAAAAAATGCGTGCAACTTGAACCGGCGTACGAATCGCGAATAATCGATTTTCGCAAATGAAGAACCCTCGAATTAAGAGTTTCCTACTGTACCGTACATCAGTTACGGGCGCGCTGGTTCTAATTATCGGGCGTCGTGGGTTAAGCGGGTCGCTGCCGCGTGACCTCTACGTATTCCTACGACACAATAAACACATTGCGTGTCAGCATTGTGCCTCGTCACCCCCCTCCCCCAACCCTCCTACGAGGGGGTGAACATTAAGCGCTCGTCTTTTGGAGGCCTAGTTTGCATACTATTTTGCGTGCAGGATGTGGTGGTTGAGACCGGGAGAGTAATTAGGGGGGAGGAGAATGGCTGGAGGGGGTGGAGGAGGAGGGGAATGGAGGAGGTGGGGGGGTTATGAGACGAGCAGAGATTTCGGGCAAGGCTTGGGAACGCACACAAACGGTGGAAGACGCCGGAGGGCTCTTTGTCTCCAGCGTCCAGAGTTCTGCCTGCGCGAGGGAGGGCAGTGCCGGATTAAGATGATGCGGGGCCTGTAATGTATGTTTATAAAGGGGCCCTAAATAAAAAAAAACACGTAAATATTAAACCACAATTTTTTACTTCCATAGTGAAGTAATTGTATGGTTTCATTTTGCTATACAGCCAGATAATGAGACAAATCGCTAACCTTAAACACCCGGTTTGTAAAAGCTGAAGGCGGTATAGTACTATAGTAATAGAGCAAGTGCAGAATCACTGAATGGGAATTGAGAGCTTGAAAGCATTTAGCTTGGGGCCCTTGAAAGTGCAGAGCCTGTAGCATATGTAGCTACTTGTGTCTTTATTTCTTTCGGTAAAGTCACGTATAAAGATAAAATAATAAATTAAATACTAGCATACGACGTTTCGATTGCAACACAAGCAATCATCATCAGGTATAAATGAAATAAAAACACAAATCTAGTATACTTAGAAATGTAATGTAATACAACAGAGAGTCGGATAACATAACAGTCAACACCCTACCTGGTTGATTACGTTCTTCCTGAGAATGCTAAATTTGAGAGAGAGATAAAACACAGAACCAGAGACATATAGACAGACATATAAGCAGACAGATATCACAGAGATACATAGAGAGAGAACAAACATAGGTACACAGATCCAAAGAGTAATTCCTGCAGTCACGAAAGCTCCAAATTAAGTTAGCTACTTGTGCTACGAGGATAATCCGGCACCGAGGGAGGGGCGAAGGTGGATTGTGCGTGCAGGAGTCCACATCGACCAGACCGCGGTAAGAAGTGGCCTCCGAGCAGCGTCGGCGTGGGTGGTTGTTGGTCCGCACGGCCCTTGCCCGGAGGATGAGACGGGGGGGGGAGGAATTCCCCTGCCGAATGAGCAGTCCACCCACCCTCCCCACCCACCCTGCCCAGCCATCCTGTCCAGCCACCCTGCCCAGCCACCACCAATGTCAAATGATCTGGCGATGCGGCGTTGGCAGTGGCGCACAAAGCACGAGCAACAAAATTTTGAAAAACTTTTTGCGCGTTCCGTGTCGATAACAACGGCCCGTGTGCGTTGTGGCCTTAATTCTTTTTTTTAAACCCTAATAAGGCAACGTTTCGGGCAATTGTGCCAAAGTACACGTAAATATGAAATAAGGGTAAAATAAATATTTAATCGGACGTTTCGGGCAATGACCCTTTTTTCACGTGGGTTATGCACCCATGTGCGCTGAAGAAGGCTCATGGCTCGAAAAGTCACCTATTTTGTTTCTTGTTGAGGCCGCCACGCGCGCACAGACGCGCAGCGTTTATTGACACGGAACGTGTTGCGCTGTTGACGTTTCAGTTTCGTGGGGATTTTGGTCCCCACGTTGCCTACAGCACATCCTCGCCGCTTCGCTGAATACACTGGTGGCGAGATGTTAACTACCTCGCCTGCGATAAGGAGGTCGTGGGTTCCATCCCGACCTGACTCTTTATTGGAGTTTGCAGTGTTCTCCCCGTGGTCGCGTGGATTTTTCTCTGGGTCCTCGGGTTTTCCCCCCCTGCAACATTTAGAATCAGCGTCACGTGTTTTAAAGTGTTTGGCTGCTCTAAATTCCCATGTGATAAGCCGCATTACTGAGCTTTCATTTGTGGCCAGGTCGCTTATGAAAAACTGTTACACAGGTCAGTGAGTCTAACTTAGTAAAATAAAATGTTTTTGTTTAGCATGTTCACTTTGCCCGTGGTCGCGTGGATTTTTTTCCGGATCCTGCCGGTTTTTCCCTTCCACATTTAGAATCAACGTGCATTTAGAGTATTTTTTTGGCTGCTATAAATTTCCGCACAATGAAAAGCCGCTTCGTTGAGCTGTCATTTTTGATAGCCAGGTCGCTTCTGAAAAAGAGCTACATAGCTCAGTGGGCCTTGCCTGGTAAAAGTTTAGTTTTAGTTAAGAATATGACGGACGGACGTGGATGGGTGGGTGGCGGTGCGTCACTCGGAGTCGCCACGGGCATATAAGCGCAATGGGGCGGGGGCGTGCTGGATAATTTAATTAAAAAAAGATATTACTATTTTTTTTCACGTGGATTATCACTCCTTGCGGCGGTGCATGTACCCAGGGTATCGATCGAAACCCGCACATACCAGACGAGTAAGGACACGCGTGCAGTACCACGTGCTCGAATGACTCTGTGTCACACATTTGGAGAGCGAATGCGCTGAGATTGGGACCCCGCCGCCGGCTCGCGAGGAGTGGCGACTCGAAAGCTCTTGACAGCTGCACGTCTTTGTGCGAGCGTGGGGATCTTAAATGGGCTTAGGGTGGCGGTGCAGTTGGGGTGTCTGGGAGACCGTTCCGTGTCGAGACGGCTCCAGTGTCCGAGCGAGGAGAGTGTAGCCTGATTTTAGAAAAATTGTGGAGGTTTTTTTCTTGTTTTTTTTTTGGCTGTGTCGTACGCCCCTCCACCACCCGGCGCAGCCGATGGGTGAAAGTTGTCACGCGGTGACCAAACGTGGCCAATTTATGAGTCGGGTCGATTTTTTTTTTTTGCTTGACGCATGTGGCGCCTTCCTGGCACAAACCCACCCACCCAAAAAGCGCCATCGTCTCACATCAATAACACCCACAGGCATAAAAATAAACAATTCTACGCGGTTAAAAAAAAAATCAAACGCAAGTTGTGGCAGTGAGTTGCATGCTTGCATATACATTGAACTTGTTTCGCACGGCACGTAGCCCCACCGTGCTCATCGGAGGTGCGGGATAGTTGTTGTATGCGAGCGTCTAAGAAGGCGCGTCTTGAGTTGTGGCGTGAAAGCGGTGGTGGGGTCGATGTCGCGTCGCTGCCTCGGCGGAGGGTTGTTCCAGAGGTTGTGTGGTGCTACTCCAGCACCACGGGCAATGTTGTTGTTGTTGTTGCCGGAGAGCGATCCACGCACACATTCAACAGTTGAGTTACGGACGTTTCGCTGATCTTCATCTTCTTGGTTCTTTCGGTAAAGTCACGTAGAAGGGAAGTAATGAAACAATAAAAATAAAACATAATAAATAATTCTCACGACGTTTCGGCCACAACGCAAGCAGCCGTCCTCAGGGTGAAGAATGAAACACCACCAAGCTTGGAGCGTATATTAAGCTGGGTTGGAGGGGGGAAGAAGAGCGCCTTGACAAAATAATTTGCATATCAAGAGGAATTTAGCATATTTATGGGAAATGCGTAGGAGGTGGGCGGGGGGTTTCAAAGTCATATTATGCAGGATTACCGAAAGAACCAAGAAGATGAATCCCTGCAGTCACGAA